GGGAGGGGGGGGGGTCGGCCCGGGGTTATCAGAGTGGGGCTCCGCGGGCTGATCAAAAAGTCCTCGGGGTCGACATACCGCGAGTTGCCGTTGCCGTTGGGATGGATGGTTTTCAGCTGCGGGGAGGCGCAAAGATCGGTGGAGGCACGCGCGTGGAGGCAGTGAAGCCGCTCGATCAGGCTGTTGTTTTCAGACTGAAGATCGAAAATCATCGTTAAAAGATCCTCTCGGCTAAGCATCAGAATTTCTTCCGGGGTGGGCATTTCTAACAAAAAAATAAAAAATAAACAAATGAAAGAAGTTGGAACTTTTAAAGGTTAAAAAAGAGTTTCTAATATTCTTTTACGAAATGCAGAATGTAAGTGTAAATATTATCTTATATAGAGAAAGCAAAAGAGAAAAAAACCTAATAAAAAACAATTAGGTTGATAATTCTCCACCTTACGAGAAATTTGTGAAAAAAGAGTATTTTCAAATAAATAGAGTTTATATAAGAAAGCAATTTTTTTTCTTTGAACCCTTTAGACATTCCTCCCTTCCCTCTTTTCATACACACAGAAAATAATAATAATGAATGCTCATGATTAATTCGCTAGCGAAACGTTACTAAATAAGCACATGCAACCAATGAAGAAGAAGAGAATATGACTCTTTGCCTTGACAATTCCCAAATTAAATGATTTTTTTTCAAGAATATATAAATCGGCAAACTTTTATTATAATGCTTTTTGGGAGGGAAAGAAATAGCGGATAAATTATTTACACTTCATGCAATGTTGGTCAAATAAAGCACTCTTATTGCTTTGTATACTTTAGGATGAGTGCCTTGTCATCTATCCAGTCAGTTTCCCCACATCTCAGATCCACTAAAGTCTCTTAAGTGAATAATGCAAACTTACTAAAAATTTTTTCAACAGTCTCTCTTGATTTTTAGAGATGACATAATTATACTACATATTTCTCGCCTTCTAGATCACACCAAGCACGCGGTACATGCTAAGTAAAGCATCCGATAGCGCCAGACGTAGCTGGCTTTCCTGAATTACGGCATCTCGCTTACGGGATTCCTGCTCATTACCGCACGCCACCAGCTTTGCCAAAACTGGAAGTAATTCCCGAATGTAGGAACACTCTGTTCTTGTTTCTTGAAATTCATCCTTTCCCTCTATTTTATTTCTATTGATATGTAAATTTTTAAACTGCACCAGGGCATCGCATCTCTTACGAATAGAAAAGAGGAAATTTTGCATAAGCCTCATCGTGTTTGTGTTGTGAGGATCCGCCAAATACCAATGTATGAGAGTTAGGCTGCGGCCGTGCATGGAGTCTCGCACAATCGTGTAGAAACGTCTTCGCTTTCCAGACGTCTCTGCGCTAACATCAAACTTCAAAGACGAACGGAGAGAAGCGCTTGATGTGGAGGAGTTCTTTTCATGGGTTGGCTCCTTCTCCCGTGGCCCGTCCGGATCGACGCGCTTCTCATTATGACAATCCCCTGTAGGAGGGAGCCCCCACTCTATCGTCCGCAAAGACCACTCCTCGAGGGTCTCCCAACTCAACGCCGCGATGTTGGTAAGCGATGGCGAGGTCGCCAGGCTCGCGTCGACGAGCGCCTCTGCGATTTCTTCCGCGGCGTGTAAATTTTGCGGCCCTTCCACGAGCCCCCGAGCGACCCCGCGGAGGACGTCGGTGAGGCTCTCAAGCGTAGCGATCGCGGCTCGCAGAGAATTCGGCAGCTCCGCGAAGACGACCTCGAGGCGCGAGGCCCGCCCGCGGGCGAGAATTAAAAGCTGCCGGTGGAGCCGGACGAGGGCGAGGATGCCCCCCGCGCGGGTGGGAGGGCCGCATTCAACCCCCACCGCCGCCCGCAAATGCCCCACGCAGGCCGCGAAAAACGCGCCGGAGAAGTGCAGCGACCACAGCGTAGGCTGCCGCGCCAGCCGCTCTTCCGAGATGTGCTGAAGCTCGAGCAACCCACCAATAACCACAATAAAACGCGAAATCGTTTGATCGTGAAATTTACCTTCCTCCTCCTCCTCTTTCCTCATGGTGCGTTCTGTAGAAGATGCTGGGCCGCCCTCCTCAATAAGCGCTTTTGCATGGCAGTTCCTCCCCGGAGGGCGGGCAATCACTATCGTGTGTAGCCACTCCAACAGCTGTAAAAGCACGTTTGGATGGGCCCCTCGGGGTAAAATATTCTTCAAATTGAACTCCCTCCCCTCCTCGGGCCCCTCATCCCCCCCATCACGCTCGTCCGAGGCCGTTTGCGGGAGCGCCTTCCTTAATAACTCCGCAATCGCGGGCTCGTGCGGGAACTGCGGCCAAATCAGCTCGTCCAGCAGCGCCCTGCGTTCGTGCAGGTGGAGATAAGGCCACATCGCGCCGTAGACCTCCACCAGCGCGGCCTGAACTTTACCGGGATAATAATAGGAATCCAACACCGCATCGCACACCGTGCACGCGGACAACAGCTTCAAAAACTCCGTAAAATAACTCTCGCCGTCGTTCGCGTTAATAGGGACGGCGGCAAGGATCGGTGAGGCCTCCCCGGCTGCGAAGATGAATTTTTTTCGCCCCAAATCCCATAAAGCGCTCAAGTTAGGCCAGAATGGGGCCTCCGGGAGGGAAGCCGATGGAAACTTTTCTCGATGGAGGCAAAACGTCGCGCAGAGAGAGCCAAGCAGCTCCGCGACGACGACATCCGTGCATTGCTTTCGCGCAGTTTGCATGGTCCGCGGATCGCGTAGGAAAATACTTCGCAAAGCCTGCCAGGCGAGTCGCGTTCCCACCAAAGGAATCGCCTCGTCGTCGAAATCCTTTTCGCCGCTAAAAAGCTCCACTACGAGGCAGTGGAGGGCGCGAATGGCGGAGAGGGAGGAATCCACCCCGCTAGTCCCCCGCACCACCACACGAGACTCTCCACAAAAGTAAATAAAGTGAAAAAGAACTTCATATAATACCGATGGGTTAACGCTCGGCGAGGGGCCAGAGGTTTGGTCAAGCGCACACAGGACGGAGCGAATGTTAGTGTAATGGCTGAGAAGAACCCGCCGGATGGAGTCCGTGAGGATCACGCGCATCACTTCAATTTGTTGGGGTTCAGCCTCAAAAACGTCAAGAAGCGCCGCACTTCCTTTCAATTCCTTTGGTTTGGGAGACGAGCACACAATACTACGATCACGATTGGCCGTCTGATCGAATACGGCAGCGGCCGGGGAGGTGGAAAGCTTGACTTCGGGCGTCGAAAATGAGGGGGGAGGAGGGACCTCAGTCATCGCGCATTGCGCCTGTGAAGCCAAAACCACGTCCATCAGTGGCATCATCATATCCCGCAAGACGTACTGCCAGCAGTCGCTCGAAAAATACCCACCATAGGTTTGAAGGATGGAGAAGAGTGTTTTCTGTGCGCCCTGGCGAACCTCCTGCCGAGTATCCATACACCCCTCATCGTGCAAACGTAAGAGCAAGGTACAGGAAAGAACATCCCAGTCGTGATGCGTCATCACGGCAGCCGAATTATCAAGCCTGGCATCCATCAATTTCAGAGTTCGTCCTTTTCGTGAATCGGCGTCTGAAAAATCGGAGGATATCCGAACCGCTGCTAGATAATCGGCTATGGACCATATCATTTGTATAGCACTGAGGTTGATATGCAGCTGCTTACCCTTCGCGCCTGCAATGTTGTGAGCAATGAAAGCACTTGCGCACAGAATAAGTTGGCGAAGATCCTCTGTGTGCATGTTGTTGATGTAGTTGTGTTGGATCACTTCGAGAATACGATAAGAAAGCTGCACGATATCCCCGAAGGCTGAGACGTGGGTGGTGGGCCGCGACGACAGCGGAGCGACTAAATTCGCAGAGGGATCAAGCGGTGTAGAGGATACGGAAACCGCTCTCGAACCACATCGGCTGCTTCCCAATGGGGGAATGGCTTTTTCGTCTTTGCTTGACAGAAATACCCCCGGGTGCGAATCCCTGTCCTCGCTCCTGTCCCCTGAGGATAATCGGATAGACGAACTCAACATAGAGGACAATGAAGCTGTGGTGACGGATTTGCGCAGCAAGCGTAAAAGGTGTCCCCACGGCTCGTTTGAAATATCCTCCCCACAACACTGCACCAGACAAAGTATCTCGCGAAGAGTTCCCATCGAAAGCCCAAGGGAGAAGCCCAGGTGAGCACTCTGGAGTGAGTCCTTATGGTGGGAGATAGAATTACATGACGTGCTCGGGGAGAGATCCGGAAGTGAAACGACACTGATATCTTCCGATCCAATTTCCATATTCGCCAGTGTTTTATCAAGTAAGTTCTCCGACCTGACATTCGCATTGCCCTCCCATACAAGCATCTCCGAAAACGCATCGTGTATTTCCCGTATAAGGGAAAAAAGCTCCACACCGCACATCGCGGTGTGTAAGAAATTTTCTGACAGCCTGTGCACCATCTGCTCCGTAGTTATAGTGCTCTGCACGTCGTCAATCCCAAACCCGCTAACAAACGACGTCGAACCCCGCCTCGAATCGTTTAATTGAGGTAGTGGAGATGGTCTAGTCAGGGCCGACGTCAAACGCACATAATGGCGTTCAACAAGCTTGGAAAGGTGTCCGGAAAGGAGCAAACTGGCGGGCAATGTGGGCTCCACCACCCGCGCGAAGAGCTGCTCGCCCGTTGTGAGGTGGGGAATAGGGGAGCAGAGTCGCCCGCACCAGCGACTCACGTAGGCTGCGAGCCCAACCACATCCCCCATACATGCGAGGAGCGCGTGATGAAGCTCGTCAAATCTGCCAGAAAAGGCAAAAGGATCCGAAGCGGCCTCCACAGGGCCTCCCCCCCGCCCGGCCTGCGCGGGAGCCCCTCCCCAGCAGGCGAGCGGGCTGATCGTGAACGGGACGCGGCAGAGCAGCGCGCACCATCGCGAGAGCCGCGAGGGGGACATCACGCGTGTGCAGAGCCAACGCAGTTGTTGGCCTACCAACGCCGAGCGAGAGGCCTGGACGGGGAGCAAAAAAAGATACCCCAGACAAAGCGACTCGCAGATTAACTCAAACTGCCCAAACACCCCAAACCCATTCGGCAACGTCCTCGCGAAGGCAGGCGGCGAGGCCGCTTCGTGGGCATTCACCGGGCCGTGGGTGGTGGACCCGTCCGGCCCGAACAGCCCACCACCCCGCTCCAGGTGAACCATCGAGCACAAAGCATCTTGCGTTCGCGAACACAACCGCTCGGTCGCGCGAACGATGCTGTCGAGGAACTCCACAAAAGCATCCTCCGGCAGCTGTTGACCACACTCCACGAACAGGTTATGCATGGTATCGCGCATCTCATAGGCATCATCTAGGAGCTTCTCATGTGTTTGGCGACTGGATGCGTCTTCGGGAATCCACAACAAGTAAAGGCGAAGCCGGTAGATCAGTGGCTCAACAAAACAGAGCGCCTCGGCGACGACTGACCACCCATGCGCACAGATCTCCATCCGCCGAGAGAACCTAAAGAAAGATTTCAAAATAACAAGCTTGCGATGAAGCCACTCAACAGCAAATGAAAGGGCAGGCTCATTCTCTTTGAATAAAGAGCCACAAGAAATATCAGGAGAATTTGAAATGGCGGAATCCAACCCGAAAGAAGGTATCCGTAAATTGTTTTTTTTCGCGTTTTCGGCACCTCGGCTAAGGTTGTTGGAGATATGGCGCACTTTGTTCGCTACCCAATGCCTCAGGTAGGTTGAGTGATGGGGGTCCGTCGCCGTTGCTGGAGCTTTGCCACTCTCCATTCCCTGTGGCCTTGGCGGCGTATCCAGCTCAGTTGTCTCTCTCAGTCCAACCCCAGATTGCAAGGCTGATAGCTCCCATATCGCCGAGGCGTCAGGATGCAGCATCGAATTGATGAACATGGTCCCAATCGCGTCCTCCATGTCAAGAGCTCCCATAAGAGCGTGAACGTAGTCCTTCTGCTGTTCCAGAAGACCCAATCTCTGACAGATGTAAACGCACTCAGCCACAATCATCAGAACGCCATGTAGCATCTCATCCACCCCTTCAATGCGCTCCAGGTAGGACTGGACACATCGAAGCAAGGGCGGGTGGAGGTCCAGAAAGATGTGCCGGAGTATGCGCTCGTGTTGCCGTCGAGAACCCGTCCTGGGGTCGTGCACGACCCCTTCTGAGGCCCGTTTCCCCTCACCTTTATCCCCTTCCGTATGGCATTCAGAAAGCCCCTCCACCACCTGCGCAAAGCGTTTTGTAAAGACCACGATAAGCGACATGAGATCAATAAGGTAGGAGAGACACTTACGCGTACGGCAAAGGGTGGCGAAGCCGAGGGAAACCTTTTGGCACCAGGCACTTGACCTGTGCACCTTTGACTTTGTAGTTGGCTCACTTCCGACCTCGGGCTTTCTTTGCTTAGTTGAGCCTGAGTGCTCCTCCGGTGGTGCCTTGAACTCCGCTATTACACCCAACTCCTGAGGATAGCTCTGTTCCGAATGCATAAGTGCGCTCAGCGGAAGCGAGAGACACTCTATCATGTCACCAGCAAGCAGAGCTGATTCGCTAAAGAGGGCGCTGTACGCAGAATGGTGCAAACAAAGCGTGTTCGGTGCGGTGAACGATCCCCCAGAACACGGCTCGTAATTTTCATCACCTTCTTCTTGTAATAGCCTATTCAAGGTGCAGTTTGTAAAAAGCAGGTCGTTCGGGATACGACCACCCTCAACCATCTTTCTCCACAAACCCATCACTTGAAATATGATAGACATCATACCTTTTTCCTTCTTGGACAACGAATCGTCCAGGGTTTCTTTATTTATCGGGATGCCTACTGCCTTATTGGGCACATAAGTGTCGGTATTGGCCAGATGGACGCGGATTTGCTCACGAATCACTGGTAAGTACTCTATTCGAAATTCTTTCAACAATACGGCATGGTAAACCGCAAGATCTCTGGCAGTGTTACGCATTGAAATAGGGAACTTTCCTAGAGCCACAAGTGCGAGCTCCTGAGTCAATATAAACAACTCATCATTCGGTAACACTTCCGACTCCTTTTGTGAAATCGGAATAGGTTGCATGTGATGATTACTTTCTAAATAATGATTGTAAATGCTGCCACTGGAATCCTGATCCAAGACACCAGCTAATTGCTCCAGATTCTTCTCGGCTTTATCAGTACCGTATATCAGACTGTTGCTATCCTGTTTCCCTTCCTCTACCTCGAGCCCTGAGGAATAGGGGCGACATGCGAGGGCCAAACCCAGAATTTTTTCATTAAGACATTGAAAAAAACATACTCCGACATTGGTGCATGAATTCTCCATCATGACATCACGACTATCATTCTTTAATTCAGGTGCAATAGTTTTATCACCATCAGTAACACCGCATGAAAAGGTTGTCGATAACGCTAACTTGTCTGGTGCTGCGATTTCGCCTTCAACGTCTGTAAAGTAGGAGAGTAAAAGTTCGATAGTAAGCTTACGTAAAGAATACGGAATATCCTGTGAGAATGACTTAGTGTGATCTGTTCCTGAAGCCATGCATAAGAAAAGGGGCTCAGTCTGTTGAGGTTGAGTGTTCTTAACAGCTTCAATGAGATCAAACCAAGTCTGGAAAGCGGTGTAGCTACTATTGCCGACATGCGGAACTAACAGACCATGTGAACCCAGTGGAATCGTGCTGAGCGGCAACGCTGTTGGCAACTGTCCCGTCGAAAGATCGCACAGGTCCTTAAAATAACTGACCGCTTGGAGAAGCAAAGAAAGCGAGGACTTGCTCTTTACAGTATTGCTTTGAAGGTTGTCATTGGAGACAGACATTTCAAAGTCCCCTTCCCCATTTCGTAGTGCATTGCAATAGGTGTGCGTGTGCTGCATGAGCGTCGTTTTAAGCACCTCCTCGGCCATGCGACCGGGTGCGACGCTGGGGTACATCGCTAATAGGAGTCCGAGTGGCTCCATCAGGGCACTGCTATTCAGCGGACAAACAGAGGAAAGCGTGATAATCACCCGTAAAAGTCGCATAACCATATCATCATCATCCACAAGAGTATACACTGCGTGTCTCGTGTCGACGGTCGCGGCAGTTGCCTCCAAGGTAGGGATCTTTTCCCTAATGGTTGACGCTTGCCGTGTCTCGGACGGATCTCTTGGATCAACTATGCTCGCATTGCTTTGCGATTTTCCAAAATCCAGATCATTGCTAAGGATAGATAAACTGTGATTACCAAAAAAGGTTTTCCCCTTTGAAACCTCGTTGTCAGATCCATGCACAGGATCTGTATGTCTGTTATCTAAACCGCTATGCTTTTCCACACGAACCGCTCTAGTCTTCACAAAAGCCAAACAGCGCACCATGTCGCACACTGCACGAGCCTCTATATTGGTTACTGTCATCACATTGAGCGAAAAAAACTTGCAAAGGTCAGACAAGCAATGAAACAATAAATTCCGATAGGTGCTGCGATGCCCATACACTTTGCAAGTTAAAAGAAAGACGTAAAGTACTTCTGTAGGGGGGTAGCCTTTTTCGCGGGTTGCGTACGCGACGTTACGAATGGTGGCCGTATCGTGTTGCTTCGTAGAGATAAGGACTATATTATCTAGGCTTTCACGGAAGGCGGTAGCCACAATTCTACTACTATGAGCAGCTTGATGCAACATGTGGAATGACTGTGAAATCAGATTCAGTGACAATTACTGGCAAATATTTATTGAATGATTTTTTTTGACAAAAAGAAAACAGTATACCTTTATTTAATTCTCGAGACGTTCGGAATGAATTAAGAAACTGTTCCTCATCAAAATAAAACTAAAACAGAAAATATGAAAAATCTAAATAACGTGTCTTCATATGCAAAGTAGTCTGAGATAAAACAACAAAGAGTACAAGCAAAACAAAGAGTTTAGCAATATATCAAAAAAAAAATGGATATGAACTGATGAAAAGGAGAATGAAAAAAGGAAATGAAGTTTATGTAGTAGAAATAAATCATTTTTTACATTTTGATAATAATAATAAATGTCATGTTTTTTATACGAATAAGCTAAATAAATTTACCTCTATTCAAAAAAAAAAACGTTTCTATATAAGCTACAGAACAAACAACTATGATAAAATATTAAATCTATTTAGAGATTAAACATTTGATTACTATTATACACCTGAAAAAGCAAACAATAATATAATCATAAAGGACGAAACCCCGAAACGCTAATGGATGCAGAACCCGATGATAACAGCTACACCTCATCCAACAACAACATAGTCTATATTATCATGAAACTGAGTTTTCAACCCATACACACACTCTAAACATTGCAACACTTGAGGCTCTCCTTAGACAATGCCCCCATTCATGCTTACATATAGTGGCCGTGAAATGACTCTGTGAGGCAGGGTGCTTCAAACATGCTAGTCAACGCTATCTTCGTGGCTGAGAGACTTTCCCTTTTCTAAAGGCTTTTCCACTTCGAAATAGGTGTGTAGTACTTTATCTCCGACAGGAGAGACGGTAGAAGGAAAGAATACTCGGCTCCTACTGGCACTGCGAAGAGACTCTACAAGAGCAGTAAGCCTGGCATTTTCATACTCTTTTTCCGAGCAGCGTTCATGTAAAATGCCATTACGCCGTTCCATAGCAATGTAGTCTTGATTTAACTCCAACCACTGCTTCTGGAAAGTGTCACGCTCTTTGGTAACTGTTTGCAAAAGAGATTTCTGATCGGTAATAAGCTCTTTTAACGATTTCCTTTCTACCAGCATATTCGCATCACCCCTCCAGTGCTTCTCACGCTCTTGTTCAGCTTGAAGCAACTTGCGAAGGTGTTGCTCTGATGATTCAAGGGTTAGAATTCTGTCATCACGCTCAGCAAGCTCAGAATGAAAGCCATTAAGAGCCGTTTTCCATGATATTTGCTGGGTGCGAAGCTCGCCATAAGCATATTGAAGAGCATTTGACAAAGAAATAAGAGTTAACGGAGACTGGGGTTTGTTCTTAAGAAGTTGGTCGGAAACCTCCAGAGGTTTTGCATTAAATACACCTTGGGAAGTAAATAATTCTTCAGAGATAATTTTATTCGTATTATCTCCGAACAAAGAATCTAATGGCAGGTTCAGAACAGTCCCAGACAAATTAGCATCCTCACAGATAAAGCGAAGTAAGAGGGTGAGATCATCAATAGAGTTGCGCTGAGCTCGCTCGAAGCTGGTCGTCTCAGCGAGGTGTTGCTGTGCTTCGGTGTAATGCAGTTTCTCCTTCGACCGATGCAACGAATGTTGTACCATCATGGTCAGCGATTCGTACCCGTCTTCTTGCACAATGTCCAGTTTCGCCGCCTTGAAGTTATAATATATGCTTTCGAGCACTGTCAAGTGCAGCTCCACCTGAATACACAGTGTCTCGTTCTC